CATTAAACAGTTTATACTATTGAAATTAAAGTACTATTGAAGTTAACATAAGGCAAAACAACGTGACCTATCAATTTCTTCGTAATAGTCTTTCCTTCTTGTTGCTTTTATTTATGGTAAATGGCCCGCAGTCTTTTGTTTGACTCTTTGACAGAAATATGATTTAAACCCTTAATAAATATTTAATTTCAAATGTGTTTCTCATTGTACTGTGATTTTCTCTTCTTAATTTCTGTTTTCTGTTAAAACGTTGAGCAACATTTTCACATTTGCATTAGGGATTTTTACTCCAGATCAACACTTGAGATTTTTGGAGTTTTATAAGAAACTTTGTACGCTGGGTTTGCAACAAGAAAATGGACACAGTGAAAACCAGATTCCACCCCAAATCCTGGAGCAGGAGAAGAAGTACGTATCAGTACGGAAGAACTGTGCTTATAACTTTCCGGTAAGACATAGCGTATTTTTATTGACTGGGCATTTTCATTATAACTTTAAAAACACGTGAGCAGATAGTGTTAAAAACGTCGCTGTATTTGACTCTGTTTAGCACCATGTGGTCTCCTAGAGATATTTGGTCAATAGTTTTGCAATTTCTGTTTTCTGTATGTATGGAATCAGAATTCTGTGAATATATTTGGATCTTGCAAACCTAATTTCTGACCCCACTAGGACTCTGGGGACATGATTTGGATTTAAGCGAAGTGACTGTTGCACCAGGTATTGACATGTGTTTTCTCTCCTTCCCTGTACCTCCTCCCTCCCACCTGTGCAGGCCATGGTCGTTTTTGTTGACCCTAAGAACTTCCACATGGAACTCTACAACGCCTTCTTCTGCCTTTGTCATGACCCTGAAGTGCCAGTCAGATACACTATTGCTGTTTGCTTTTATGAAGTAAGTCTGAGGAACTGATACCACTGTACATGCGTTGTTAATTCTACCTATGTGTACTGGGTGATTTTTTGATACTTTCCACCCTTCTGTTTACAAATTTATTATAGGCTCCACGTTTCTTTCATCTCCTATTTCTGAGTCTTACTTAAAACTTCCCGTAATTATCTTCTCTTTTTAGTATGCTTATAGAATGCATTTACGTACATACGCTATATTCGTTTATAAATCCATTGGTCCCATTTATCTTTACTAAGTGTGTCCATCCTTTAAAACAGGCGTTGTGGTACACGTGGGTATACAGATTTCAAAGTAATCAGTTTTCTGTGCTTTATAATATTTATGCTTTTCTTTGCACTTACATTTAATTAATACCTGAAGAACAAATGGGTAACTGAGTGACAAATTGTTTAAATTTATTATTTTTATTACAAACGAAGTGTTTCTTGAGCATCGCTTTTACACTCAACTCTTTTTAAAATAAAAGCAAAAGCAATTTTAAATTTTATCATGAATGTAATTATCTTTTTAATGCTGTACTTACACCTATAAACTGTAACTCGTCAGCTTCAAAATACATATAAATAGTTGCTTATCGTGATATAATGAAGTATTTCTTTCCTTAAAGTTGTATAATAAACATTTCTTTATTATGAATTAGAATATTTCATGCCCTTCCTGGCACTGTGTTCTAAGTCAAAGCAGTAAGATTATTCAAAGTCTGAGATACCCGCAGTATCGTGGCAAATGTTCCTTTAGATTCATTTGGTTGCTGGGTGATAGTCTTTGCTTCTTTAAAATAACACTTTTTTTTTTTTCCTGGTCATGAATGAAAATGTGTTTTTTGTGCAACATCTAAGAAAGATTCCCTTTAAATGGCGCAGTTAATTGGCACCAGTTCCAGCATTGGACAATTAAATCATTTTTGTAGCTACACCAGTGGAAATCCTGTGCTGGGAGAAGGGTGAGGAGGAAGCCTGGCCAGCTGAGGGCAGGTTCTCTTCTGAGGAGCAGTAAGTGGCCGTTTAGGCCGGGTTCTCCGGTAGGAGCCCCGGCAGCACACGTGGTTAAGTGCCCGACTGCTGAGAGGTTGGCATTTCAAGCGCACCCAGCCGCTTTGTGGGAGAAAGACCCGGTGATGTGGTCCTTCAAAGGTTACTGCCAAGAAGACCCCACGGGGTAGTTCTGCTCCATCACATGGGGTCTCTGTGAGTCGTGGTGGATTGGACGGCACACGACAGCAGTAACTGTGCAAAGTTTGTTTAGGTCAGTGGTCTCCAGAGAAGGTTGCACGAGACTCGAGTCTGGGACGGTGATGTCAGCATTTCTACGCATGTGTGTTTTTATCCCGTCCCTTTCATTTCTGTTTGTTTTATAATATACTTAATACGTGGGCACCATATGGATAAACATACTTTGGAACGTGTATACAAAAATCGTTTGTGGATTGCAGTGAGCTTGGAGGCTGTCGATCTCGTGGTTTGCCAGGTGACTTGTTCGTATCACAGTCTTGTCACGCAGGTCGGCTCAGAGTGGTGTTGCCCCCACACAATGAGCCGTTGGTCTAGGATTTCATGGTATTGCTAGAATATGATAATTACTCTATTATGTTTTACTTTTTTCTTGTGTGCAGAAGAATAAGATTTTGAAAATATTTTCAACAAGAGCAGAGCAGAGGTTTTAAAATTCTTTCTTTATCCAGGGATAAATTTTTTTTCTTTCCCAAATAAAATCTTACTCAGAAGCCCAGTGGGTAAAATAAATAAAGGTGAATTAGAAACGGGTGATTCCTCTATTGTGACTGTGTGTGTGTTAGGAGGAAGGGAATTGTCCACAGAGCAGCTGGTTCAGCCTGGCCTCTCCCGTCTCCTCTCGTGCTGGTGGGAGCCCTTGACAGGGAAGATGGAAATTGCTCTGCTCACTGAGGACTGCTCCCTGCCCTGGGATCACTGTAGGCCTTCAGTAGAGCTTGCCCTCTCTGGGAAGCTCTGACCTGGGGTGAAAGCTCTGCGCCTGGGCTGTCCTTTAAAAGCCTGTCAGCTGGTGTAGGACTTGAGCATGTGACCTGGGGGCATCCACGCTCAAGGGATGAAGGCTGACACTGGCGAATGCCCTCCTTCCTCACTTCCCACCCCCGCCTGCCCTCACGCTCCTGTACCTGATGGGGCAGATGACTTATGCAGCGAACTTTTCTAGAAAGACAATTTTATATTTATTTTGTAGCTTAGTTTTATAAGAAGTATCTAATAGGGATGTATTTTGAAAGTTATTACTTTAATCCGTATGTGTCTAGTGGTCTCAAATCTGAGAGACTTTCTTGCTATATTTTAGGTGTCTAAACTTCTGAATTCTGGAGTATATCTAATACATAAAGAACTAATAACGCTATTACAAGACGAATCACTGGAGGTAGTATTTTTCTTACTCTTTGTTTTTCTTTTATATTAACTCTGAACAAACATATCAATACCTTTCTGTTTTTTTAAACTTCTTGTGAATTGCATGATCTCTTATCCCCAGAAACTTCAAGTCAGTGTACCATTGCATCTTAGACTGGAAATTGGGAAGTTCTTTATAAAGTATTAGAATTTAAAATATGCGCGTATATCTGCTTATGAAGGAATATTTGGGAAATGCAGAAAAAGAACACCCTTAGTTCCAGTCCCTGTTACTATTTGGGGATATTTTTTGCATTCTTCTATTTTTTTCTATAGAACAGTTTTATTTATTTTACAAAATTGCAATCATGTATCACATTTTATACTTTTTCTTTGGGTGTTGTTTGTGGGGCGTGAGAAGTTGTGACACCCTTTCACAGGCTTTATTTTGATGTTGTAGTTAGTCTGTCTCATTCACTTAAATGAATACCAGCTCGATAATACTCAGCTCATCGACTTTAGACATCACGGAAGGTACTGTCTGATTGCAACCACCTTTCAAAAGTCGACAGGTAGTTTTGGAGGAAGCTGGTTGTGTAGGAATAATGGGCTCAGATTTACGCTGTTTGAACACTGTCAAGAGGCAGATACACTCACCCATTTTCAAAGATTGATCAATCAAGGTGATAGATCATGTTTCAGTAAGAAGATGGCAGAATAAGAAAACGGAATCCTGCAAAATGTTTTTTGATAAGCAATGCTGTTTCTGTGTAGAAGCTGACCTGTGTAAAGACGTAGCTGAATTAACGAATCTGGATTAGGAAAACACAGTAATCACTTGACTAACTCTATTCAAAGGTACTAGATGCCCTTGTAGATCACCTTCCAGAAATCCTGGAACTGATGTCTGCCGGCGGAGAAAGCAGTGCTCAAGAAAATAAGGTAAACACCTTCTATCAGAAACATCAGCACTGGTAAGTGGTACCCTGCTGCACAGGATGTTGTGAGCATCAGTGACAGAGTGGATGAAATGTATTTAAAATCGGGCCTGGCACATGGTGGGTGCTCAGCAAATGTCCGTTGGAGTTTGAACAGTTTGAATTTTCTTTACAGTTCTAATACTAATAATTATTATGTATTGTCCTATTTATTATGAAATTTATATTCATATTTCCAGTTGTCATTTGCATTAACGATTTTTCCAAGAATAGCAAGTAGTGAGGACAAAGGGGTAGGAATTGAGAAGGTCACATCTCGCTGACAATAACTCATAACCATTTTCATGTTAATTTGAAGGGTTACTATTGTATTCAGTCTGACAGGAAAAAAAATGAGCCCCAATCTCTAGTTCAAAATTTGATTTTCATTTACTTTACCTTTTCCTTGTGAATTTTTCAAAAAGCATCTCATTTTACCAGGTAATTATCTCCCTGTGAAACTGAGATGCCTCCTAAATTCTGAAATGAGCAAGAGTACCCCCCCTCCCCCAGTGTTTTATAAGCCTGGCTCATTTGACCGAATGCTGCGGTTGCTTTATTTAATTATCATCAATTCTTGACCCCTGTTCTTTTCCAGTTATCAGCTCTGCCTGACTTGATTCCTGCACTCACAGCCGCAGAACAGCGAGCTGCAGGCTCCTTAAAATGGAGAACTCATGAGAAGTTACTGCATAAATATGCCTGTCTGCCACATATCATATCAAGTGATCAGATTTATTACCGTTTCTTGCAAAGAATGTTCACAATCATGGTGACAAATGTGAGTCAACACCTTTTCTCTTATTCTTTGGAGCTCGTGGCTGATGTGGAACTACCAGATTCTTCATACTCTCAAAGGAGCTTATTCCTTTCTGTCCCCAGGGAGGACGCTCAGGTTTCCCTTTGCGTGGCCACTTGTTCTCCCTTCAATTTTCTTCTTCTTAGCTAGAGAAAGACGCGAACTTAAGTTTATATACTGCCAGGAAGAAGGTAGACCCACTTCAAACTCTGCCTACACCTACTCCGCACTTACTGACTTGGTTAGGTTCCAGAGACCAGGATGTTACGTGAAAATCGGTGCTGTGCAGAAATGGAGGATGGCTGCAACATTACGTAACTGCCAAATTATACCATTACAGAACTGCCAAACTGCTGAGAGTCAGGGCCCAGCCAAGGTGACACATAACCTTAACCATCACAGCCAGTGTTACTTTCATCTCACACCTCAGTGTTTATGACTTCCAGGCATATGTCATTGATGTGCTAGGTAGTGGATAGTAGATTTTTTTACTGTTGTCAGAAATGTGAAATGTTGGGTAAGGAGATAGTTGGTAAGTGAGGGGTAGGTGTAGTTCTCCTGAAGAGGGAGGTTGAGAGTGGTCTGTAATCTCAACAGTTACGTGTCTGGTGCTCGATGTATACCCTTTATGTATCTGGGCCTTGCCTCAACAATGTCGTCTTTGTTGAGGCATCCCAAGCCATCTTGGTAAGTGTTTGGGTACTTTGTTCTCTTATGGTACTTAAAAGGTGACTAGGGAGCAGGTAGAAATTATATAAAAAGCATGGTTGGCCTACTGTGAATAACCTTATAATTAGAGTCAAGAGCAAAAGCCAAAACCTCTCAAACTAGCTTTACCATCCATCAGAGCAGGTTGTACTTAGATGTCCCACACAGTTTGTCTACCTTTTTCTCAAAAAGTTCCCAAGGTGGTTATTTAACCCATAGTTCATTGTACATCTTACGTGGCATTCTGCTACCACTGGTTGAATTGTAAAAAAGTTCCACGTAATGTTTGTTTTACAAAGGGTTAGAGAAGTACTTTGATTTCTTATTGTTTATTCTCAGCAAACAATGAAAACAATGAACTCTAGCAGCTGTCTCAGAAACCCACAAGCTGTTTTATATTCAAAGATTAAAAAGAGAGGAAAAATGGCATTATCGGTGCCATTTACAACTTAAGTAAAAAAATATTAGGCACACATTTCATGAATTAATACCTCCCCACAAGTTTATTTCCTGCATCAAAACAAAGCTTGGAGGTTATATTGTAGGTGGAATAATTTTAAAAAGTGATTTTGGCAATAATAACATCCTTATCAGGTTTATATTCAATACCATATATGTACCCTATAGGAAATCTCACATAAAATTAAGAAGAATTATTAATTTATTTTATTTAACTATTAATTATTTGAGTACTTGTTATGGATCAGGCACTGTTCTAAGAGCTGGGTAAATTCAAACCAACCCACTGCCATCAAGTCGATCTGATTCATGGTAACCCAATAGGACAGAAAAGAACTGCCGCTTTGGGTTTCCAAGGCTGTAACTTCTTTATGGAAGCAGACTGCCTCATTTTCTCCGATGGAGCAGCTGGTGGGTTTCATCTGCTGACCTGTCACTTAGCAGCCAAATGCTTTTACCATAGTGCCACCAGAGCTGGGTGTAGAGAGTGAACAAAATAGAGTCCTGCTCTGATGGAACTTACAATCTATGAATGGTGGTGGTGGTGGTGGTGGGGGTGGTGGCGGCGGCGGTGGTGGTGACAGTGGTAGTGGCGGTGGTGGCAGTCATAGGTAATGAAATAAAAATAAATAACAGGGATGATAAGAGTTATGGAAAGTGATCTTGTTCATCTCAACTCAGTTATATAGTAGGTGGGTTTGTGTTTCGGAAGCTAAGAATGCATGATTATGCTGTATTGGTAGCCTCTCTTATCAGAAAAGGGAAATGATTAACAGCATAGAGTGTGGGAAACGTATTGTGAAGCCTGGAAGATTTGTTTTGTGGTTTATTTTTTAAAAAAATAAGAGTTAATTCCACATGTCAAAGGACATATCTGATGATTATAGCATGTTTCCCATGATGAAAAAGGGTACTTAATATGACCCAAGCTCTGTATTTAGTTCCATAGTGAGTGGTCACAGTATTCGTCCTTTCAACGCAGTGTACTGAGTACCTCTGTACCAAGCATCATTCTAGGAGCTAGGAGCACAGTGGTGAACAGAAGAGACAAGGACCTGCCCTCACTGAGCACGCTGTCTCCAGGACAGACCTGTAACAAACAAGCCCATATTTATAGGTGCTAGGTAACACGTTGGGGTGAAGAGCACAGTGAAGAACCATGGAGCAGGTGGAGAAGGAAGGGGTGGAGGGGAGCAAGGTGTTGTGGATGGAGTGGCCAGCAGAAAGGTGTGTGTGGTGTGGACGCTTGAACAAAGCAAAGCGTAGCCGTCTGAGGGAAGAGCAGGCCACAGAAAGGGAATGGTGAGTGCACTGTGGGGCCTGGGTGTGGGGCCTGCGTGTGCGTGGCCCTGTGAGGAGCAGCAAGGAGGCCAGTGTACAGGGACGTGAGGCTGGAGAGGTAGCCTGGTGCAGCCCACAGAGCCTTGAAGGGCACGATGTGGACTGAGGCGTTTTCCTCTCAGATGAGGAAATTCTTTGGGAGATTTTGAATAAATAGCAGAAGCTGACTTTTCTTTTTTTGCCCCTCCCTGCTTTTGCTATAAAAACTTTTAAAGATGCAGAAAAGCAGATAAAAGACTGTAATGGACCCCTGTATACCCATCACCAAATCTAATACTTGTCAACACTTGACCGAGTTTGCGTCGTCCGCTTCATTGCGCTGAAATATTTAAAAGGAGGCTAGTTGCCATCTAGTCTGCTCCACCTCCTGGCAATGCCACGTGTTCAGAGTAGAACGCGCTCCTTAGGGCTTCATTGGCTGCTGGAGAAGCAGACCAACGGGCCTTTCTTCCGAGATGCCTTTGGGGGGATTCAAACTGCAGCCTTTTGATTAGTGGCTGAGCTGCCATTGAGGGCAACTGTTTTAAGTGATAGATGTCATTCTATTTGACCTCCAAACATTTCAGTATTCATCTGTAAAAGGTAAGGATCTTTTCCCAGACAGCTATAACACTATCATTACATTGAAAAAAAATTAACAATTATTCTTTGATATAATTTAATATCCAGTCCATATCCAAATATTACCAGTTGTCCCCCAGATGTCTCGCACAGTTGTTTCATCTCATACAGGATCCAGTTGCGATTTGTGCGCTGCCTTTGTTACGTCCCTTAATTTCCTTTCATCCAGACAGTTCCCGGCCTCCTCAGCCCCTTCTTCGTGCCACTGAGCTGTGAAGGAGGTTCAAGTCGTTTCTCCTGTATTCGTTCCACCTTCGGGACTGGTTGGATTGCTTCTTTGTGACCGATTGCCTGTATCTCTTATAAACTGGGGCTTGGATCTAACGGCTTGCCTTGGTTGCGGTTCAGCATTTTGGCAAGGACGCTTCACGTGCTGCTGGTGTTTCACAGTGCATCACACCAGGGTGGAGTGCCACTGTCAGTGACCAAGGGTGGCCATGCTGGTAGTGACAGCCCGATTCTCCCCCGGAGCACTTTCACCTTCTTCCTGGCGAGCCACATCCTGGCCTGTGGGAAGCTCCCACACTCTGCCATCCAGTTTTTTGCCAGTCTCCACCCATTAGCTTTCACATCCCTTGATGATCCTTGCCTGAACCCATTCCTTCATTAGAACTTGACAGACTGTAATTTTTCAAATTCTAGCATTCCTTCCACATGGTGTAGAACATCTTCCTGTGAAGAAGCGCTTTCCTTCAGCTACTTGGGTTATTTGATTACCTGAAAATACACCTGGAGAGGCAGGCTCTACTGTGAATCCTTCTCTCTGATGATAAATTTTAAGAGCTGGGAGTTATTAGCCACTTTCTATGGTGACAGATGAGTTTTGGTTTTGGTTTTCTCTCTCTCTTTTACAACTGTGGACCCATTTTTATGTTAAATAATGTGGTAATAAATTGCAGTTGTTTCTCTTTGTGCTCAGATTGTCACAGCTCCCTCCAGCTGGACCGTATATCCTGCTGACATGATTCCATTGATTATTGCTAGCTTCCTTGCTTTCTGGCCCAAAATATGACTGACTTCTACTGCAAGGTTAACATAACATACTAGCCATCAAAATCCATTGCTGGCCAGTGGATTCTGACTCATAGTGACCCTCGAGGACAGAGTAGAACTGCCCCTCAGGGTTTCCAAGCTGTCACCTTTATGGATGCAGACAGCCACATCTTTTGCCTGCAGAGCAGCTGGTGGGTCTTAACCACTGACCTTTTGGTTAGCAGCTTTAACCGCTGTGCCACCAGAGCTGCTTTATAATGTTGTATAGGATGTAACACAGAGTCATTGTACTCAAAAGAATTGGTTGATGTTTAACCATTTCAGGAGGTAGGAGATGATCAAGAACCAATGGTATTGAAGGAAGAAGTCCAAGCTGCACTGAAGACACTGGTGAAAAACAGGACTCCAGGAATGGACTGAATACCCATTGAGATGTTTCAACAAACGGATGCAGGTCTGGAGGTGCTCACTTGTTTATGCCAAGTAACTTGGAAGACAGCTACCTGGCAACTGACCGGAAGAGATTCATATTTGTGTCAATTCCAAAGATAGGTAGCCCAACAAAATGCATAAATTATTGAGCAGTATCATTACTATCACACATAGGTAAAATTTTGCTGAAGATAATTCAAAAACGGTTGCAACAGTATATTGACAGGGAACTGCTGGAAATTCAAGCCAGATTCAGAAATGGGTTGTAGCGAGGGACATCATTGCTGACGTCAGATGGATCTTGGCTGAAAGCAAAGAATACCAGAAAGATGTTTACCTGTGTTTTGTTCACTATGCAAAGGCATTTGATTGTGTGGATCATAACAAATTATGGATAACGTTGCGAAGATTGGGATTTTCAGAACACTTAATTGTGAGGAACCTGTACACAGATCAAGAGGCAGTCCTTTGAACAGAACAAGGACATAGTGAATGGTTTAAAATCAGGAAAGGTGTGTGTCAGGGCTGTATCCTTTCACCATGCTTATTCAAACTGTGTGCTGAGCAAATAATCTAAGAAGCTGGACTACTATGAAGGAGAAGGAGGCATCAGAATCGGAGGAAGATCCTTAACAACCTGCAATAGGCAGGTGACACAGCCTTGCTTGCTGTTAGTGAAGATGGCCTGAAGCACTTACTGATGAAGATCAAAGACGACAGCCTTCAGTGTGGATTACACCTCAACATAAAGAAAAAAAAATCCTCACAACTGTCCCAATAAGAAACATCACGATAAACTGAGAAAAGACTGACGTTGTCAAAGGTTTCATTTTACTTGAATCCTCAATCAGTGCCCATGGACAGCAGACAAGAAGTCAGATATCATATTGCACTGGGCAAATCTGCTGAAAAGACCTCTTTAAAGTATTGAAGAGCAAATATGTCACTTTGAAGACTAAGGTGTACCTGATCCAAGCCATGGTATTTTCAGTAGCCTCATATGCATGGGAAAGCTGGACAGTGAATAAGGAAGACTGCAGAAGAGTTGATGATTTTGAATTTTGGTGTTGGTGGAAATACCATGAACTGCTGGAAGAACAGACAAATCTGTCCTGGAAGAAGTACAGCCGGAATGCTCCTTGGAAGTGAGAATGGCCAGACTTCATCTCACCTACTTTGGTCATGTTGTCAGAAGGGCTCAGTCCCCAGAGAAGGACATCATGCTTGGTAAAGGAGAGGGTCAGAGAGAAAGGGGAAGGCCCTCAAAGACAAGGGCTGACACAGGTCAGTGGGTGCAGTGATGGGCTCGAACATAGCAAGGATTGTGAGGATGGCGCAGCACCAGACAGTGTTTGATTCTGTTGTACTCAGAGTCACTGTGAGTCACAGCCACCTTGACAGCACGTAACCACCACCACCACCACCACCACCACAGCATGAGATACACACGTTTTTCCATATGACTAGTATATGTGCATTTGAAATTTCTATTAGTATATATAAGATGAGGGAAAAGAGTAACATGTTTTTAATTTAGTTCATTTATATAAAATTTACTTACTTTTTCTTAAACCCAATGTTATTTCTATTTACATACATTTTTTTTTTCCCAATTCTATGTTCTAAATCATAGTGAATATCCTGTATTTTTTACATTCAGCAGACTAACAGTGCCACATGGAGTAGTGCTCAACAGACTAAAAATAATTTGTATCAAATATGAGAAGGAGGAAGCAGGCAGTAGGGTCTTGGGCAGTGTAAAGTCTCATGCTGTTTGAATTTCAAGGATCCCCACTGTAACAGTCTGAGTCTTCAGTAATTGACTATTATAATATTTATATGTAAGTCTAGAAAGATGGTGAACATAAATTTCTACTGGACCCAAAATACCTGGTTGGGAGATTTTTTTCTAATATGTCGAGTGAGCCTAAAGCCATTGAAAATAGATGGTTGAATTTATTTGGAATTGTTTTGCCCTGTGGTATGACAGAAGTTCAAAGGACAAGAAAGTTTAGAATACTAGCAAGAGTGATTGACGTGGTGCCCCATGGATTATACACTTTATGTGGATCAGAGATTTCAATGGATGACTTTGAGGTTGAAGAGTAGCTAAGGAAGTCTAAAGGATAGAAGAATTTTCCCATGACCATGTGTAGGGTTGGCAGACAATGTTTCTACAAGTGTATTTGTATGTTCCTCGGAAGGAAGGTTGGGCAGTCTATTTCCATAGTGATACTGCCTTGGAAATCCAAGGAGGGGTCGCTGTGAGTTAGGTCCGACTCGACGGCACATAACAACAACAACATTTGTATGTTCTGTACGAATTCCCAGGTATATAGTAGAGCTGACAAGGGACACAATTGTGTAGTCATTTCTTGGCCACAGGCAGCTACCCAGAGGGAGCGAATAGTTGGACCTGTGGGCTTGGGACCATAATTGCAGGGGACATCAAGCTCAATTGGCATAACATACTACACAAAAACATTGTTCCACATCCTGCTTTGGTGAGTAGTGACTAGGATCTTAAAAGCTTGCAAGTGGCCATCTGGATGCAACGATGGGTCTCTCCTCATCCGGAGCAAAGAAGAATGAAGAAAACCAAAGACACACGGACACAATTAGTCTAAGCAACTGATACACCATGCGATCCTCAGCCTAAATGACTATGAGACCAGAAGAACTAGATGGTGCTTGGCTACCACTGTCAACCACTTGGAGGGATCTATGTAGGAGATCCTGGACAGAGTGGGAGAACAATGTGGAACAAAACTCAAAATCATTTGAAAAAAAAAAAAAGGGCCAAGTTTGCAGGTCTGATAGAGCCTAGTGGAACCACTGAGACTATGGTCCCTAGCTGCCCTTCAGGTCTGGAATTGAACCCACTTCTGTGGTTTCCAGCCAAACAAAAGATAGGCATATAAGCTGAACATTTACATTAGGTAGATATAGTCCTTGGAGAGATCAATCATGGGAAAATAGAAGGTCTGTGTCTGTACAGGGAGACAGCTTGAGGTGGGCAGGAATGCATGGGAGGGAAGGACACAGGGAAGAGGTAACTGTGGGGAGTAAGTGGGAAGAGAGCTGTTGTATTGTGGGAAATTGCTGTTAATGTCATGCTACAAGTGTATGTGAGCTGCTGTATGGAAAGTGGATTTGCTCTACAAATTTTCACCCAAATCACAATTAAAAAAAAAAAAAAAGAACAGAAGAATATATCGCTCATGGGGTCTCTGAACCTGCATTTTAGAAGTGGCACCATTTTTGGCAATATTCCTAACAGTGTATGCTCTAGCAAATGTTTGTTGAGAATGAATGACAGGGTCCAGGGTTATGACTAAGAGAATGGGTGGTTGAGGTGTATTTGAGGGGAACGCGCATTAAGATGAGATTACCAGGAGGTGAGACTCAAATAGAAGTCAAATCTGAATGATTTGGAAATGACTGTACCTACAATGTTAGCTTTGTAAAGGGGTGCATGAGCCGGTTTGCCTGAGGCCGTAACAGTCAAGTGGTTCAGATGCTTCCGCAGGGGTATAATGCAATGATTGGAGAGCTCCTGGACACTGCTTTGACAGTCAGGCAATAATTTAAACTTGACTTGTGGGGCCAAATTATACAGAATACATATTAGACTAGTTTAATGGTCTTTCTTATTTTTCTTTAAGAATGTTTTGCCTGTCCAAAAGGCAGCATCACGAACCCTGTGCATTTTTCTACGTTATAATCGTAAACAAGAGCAGAGACACGAGGTCATTCAAAAATTAATTGAACGTAAGTGTTATTGTCTTTTTTTTTTTTTTTTTTTAAAGGACGTGAATGTACTAGTTGGTCTGAGTTAGATGTGGCATGCACCATGCATTGCTTTGCCATGAGTAATAAGTGTGGTCTTGGTAAATTGCTGGTGTGTGTTTTTATTGAGCTCGTGGGTTGAGTGTTTCGTGTATTTCAGATATGTTTATGACTATCTGATCTTGGGTGAGGGAAAGTTATGATTATCCTAGGCTTGCTGTTATATAGTTCTACACTTGAGAAAGTAAAATAGCTATGGAGTTATGTTGAAAGCCCAGCTTCTACCTGGATTTGTAACTAAAACATAAATTTAATATCAGTGTATCTAATTATTTATATTAGGTTCCTGTTTTAAATATTAGCAAAATTAACAGAATGGGGGTTTATTTTATTTTTGTTCTGAATAGAGATATCGATCATAAAGTTGTAGATCTGCTGAGCTGAGATGGTTTATAATGTCTTAAGAGACAGAATCAGTTAGCAAATGTCAATCTAATTAGTTAAGGACCAAAATCAAGGCAAAAGCCTTTGTTCAATGTGAACTCTAAAGAAAGTGGTGCACACCTATGTGTATTTAGTGATTTTGTTATTCATCATGTGCTTGCTTTGACTGTAATGGCTAATGCTCTGTTTAAGCTTTATTATCCAATATAGGCAGGTAATAAGATTTTCTGGTCATTGGAGTTTATCATTCTAATTATAGATAGCCTCTTTAAAAAAATTACAGTTGATAAAATTTCATTTAAGAAAAAATTTGTTCCATACTCTCTGCTCTTTCTTTTGTGGTCTGTTTTAATTCAATTTTCAGTTTTCAGTGGCAAGACTTCACATTTATTTTGAAGGAAGATTTCATTTGTTTTTAGATATTAAGAATTTTGCCTTTAAACATTTAAACAAGGAGGAAATTACCCTTTAAATATTGGCAGAATTATTGTTAATAATACTGTATCTACATATGACTTTATTCAATCCAGGAACTCTGGTGGCGCTGTGGTTAAAACATCGGGCTGCTAACCAGAAGGCTGCCAGTTCATACCTACTAGCTGCTCCATGGGAAAGAGATGTGACAGTCTGCTTCTGTAAAGATTTACAGCCTTGGAAACTCTGTGGGGCAGTTCTACTCTGTCCTATAGGGTTCCTATGGGTTGGAATCAACTCGATGGCAGTGGGTTTGGGTTGGGTTATTCGATTCAAAATATTTTAAAGGAAACTAGAGGAAGAAACAATTAATTGGATTGTTAAAAAGACTTGGAAGTTTCCATTCCAGCTGTGCCATTAAGTGGCTATGGGACTTTAATCTCTCAGATTTTCAGTATCCTTGTCTGTAAATAGGGCTAAGAATGCTTACCCCATTGTATTATTTTTTTTTAGGATTAAATGAGATAATATATGTTAAAGTACCTAGCACAATAGTAGATGATTAAAAATAGTAGATAATAGTCATCCACTAGTTAATAAACATTTATGAAACTCAATGCAATGTTTAATAAGAAAGTGGAACAACTAGCTAAAAGCTCTTTTGAAGATTTAAGAGATGTCTGTAATTGTGGGGTCTACAAATCTCTTGTGTTTTGCTAGAACTTTGGGTATGAAGAAACTTGTCATGAGTTTGGTGTCTGATTTTGTCATGTAATTTCATGTAGAACAGATTAAATTTATAACAATTTTTGTTGTTGTTTTTAGAACTGGGCCAAGGAAAAAGTTATTGGAATAGACTTCGATTTTTGGATACCTGTGAATTTATAATAGAGATCTTTTCCAAGTCATTTTTCTGTAAATATTTCTTTCTACCTACTATTGAACTGACACATGACCCAGTAGCAAATGTGAGGTATGGTACCGACCCAATCAAATAATTGAAAATGTTACTATTATTATTATTATTATGTATTTACTATAGTGGATATACTCAGAATCTTTTCCTAGCTGATTCAAAAATCAAATGAAGAATTTAGACTTGCTTTGAAATTCTTGGCAGTCTTAATTGATGAGCACCAATAGGATTAGGGAGCATAATCTTTCAACACTGTCTCAAACACTTTGTTTATTGGGTTGAGAGAGCAGTGACTCTAAGCCAGTCTGGGAAGATTCCTGCCATTTGAATAGATATTGGTTTATCTAGGACTGAAGAAAAAATGGCGGCAGCCTGTCACTTCAAGCTGGCTGGTAGAGCATCTGTCCATTTTGAGGGGCCCATTTATTGAGAGAAGTAGGGCTGCTTTGAAGTTTGATCTCACTTTTCCATATGTTCATCTGTCCTACATTTTTTGAAATCTACTTAATGTTAATTGAATTTGATTAATTAGTTGTTAAGCTAGATGAAACAGGTCTGAAAATGACTTACTTGGGAATTGAAGAAAGAATAAATACAATTTATGCTTTTTTCCTGCCCCCAAAAGCTTATTGTTTAAGCGTTTTTTACACATTGCATAATGGGTCGAAGAGAAATGGTCAGCCCTCAGCCACTAGGTTTCTGTGTTCTAAGTTGTGTGTTTCTGTTCCAAAAGGAAGAACTCAGATTGGTAGGAAAGACAGACACTATCAAGGTCAGTTGGCCAAAGTTTCCATAAGAAAACCCTGGAGTTCTCTGCTGAGTTTTCACACGCTAGCTGTACTGAGATTTACGCTGTGAGAAATGCATGCATCTTCCATAAACAACGTGGGAAACATCATATAATACTTTCCACCATGAAGGACCGACAAGGCAGTGAGCTGGCATTGATTGTCGGCAGTCTTGCCACTGAGAGAAAATATACCATGACCAGTTGTCAAGGTGGGCGTTACTTAAGGGGAACACAGTTAGAGGTGGATTTTGTTTGCGTTTTTAGTGTGAGGATACACAGGAAACGCAGGGATCCTGGCTTCGTTTTCCTGTTACTGTTTCATAGAAATTGCAGGTGCATCTCACCTAGGCTGTGTGGGCAAGAGGTGAGATTCCCTTGCCTTGAGATTTAAAGGAAATTTAAACAAACCTGTTGCTACAGTAAAACCTGCAAAAGCTGGAACCTCTGTAAGGCAGAAACCTGTCAGAGAAGGAAAATGAAAATACTTTCTACTAACAGAAAAGTGATTAAGCCTGTACCCTGTCAAAGGTGGAAAATTTGTGAGACCTGGAAAAACAAGGTGGTCCCATCAAGTCCGGCTCTCACAGGCTCCGCTGTCATCCCTTAGGATTCGGCTCTTGCTAATCGACTAATGGGGCTGACCACGTTGTTAACCTTTTACAAGTTGAGGTTGTGATTCTAGAGAAGCAATGTGGTGAGTTATTAGTTATCAAGAAGCTGATAAAATGATTTGCAAGAAAATTATGTCATCTCTACTCTGGTGAACGTGACTAACAGTGTTGCTTTGACTCCATGAGAAAGCAGTTCGTTAAGTCAAGAACCGATTGAAGACTACGCAACACCACTCTGAAGCTGGGTGATTGTTTTTCTCTCTGTTTTTGGTCCGAGATCACTGTGTGGTTCCCACTCTGCCACCTGGGCCCTTACTTGCCAGCAAAAGAAATGGGTCCCGCCACACCGTATGCGGTGGTCTGTGGGTGCGGAAGCCTGGCTCTGGAGCAAAGTGCAGCTAGAGTGACAGGCCCCAGTCAAGGGTGGCAGGATCACCGTTGCTTAGGAGGACAGTCTGTGGAGTCACAGGGCCTGAGTGGAAATTCTAGCTCTGCACTCACTGCCTGTGTGTCTTTGAGCAAGTTACAAAACCTCTCTGTGCTTTGGTTTCTTTCCTACTTAATTCAGAGGGTGTTCGGAGGACTGAATACTTGAGATGATATACATGAAGAATTTAGCTTATCTATAAGAATTTTCAGAGCTCTGGTGGTATAGTAGTTAAGGCATTTGGCTGCTAACCACAAGGTTGATGGTTCAAATCCACCAGCTGCTCCATGGCAGAAAGATGAGGGAGTCTGCTTCTGTAAAGATTTACAGCCTTGGAAACCCAGTGGAGTCTCTGTGGGTCAGAATTGTCTCAATGGCAGTGAGTTTGGTTTTTTGGTATAAGAACCTTAAGGAGCTAGGTCCCGTTACAGCTTGTACAGCACCTGCTGAATGCGCATTTTCTAGACCTGCTTTGGGTTATAAAGAATGGAGGGTGCCTGAGTAGATTGTGGAGTGTTTTTGGTTTTCCCTCTGTGAATGTTTACAATTTAAATTCACTGGATGTGCACAGCATCAAGGCTGGAAAAAGGTGACTGGTACTCCCAAGGTGCCTTTCCTCAGCTTCCAGAAACAAAACAAACAAGCAAAGATCTGTGGGGGGGAATTGGGACTCCTTAATCAGAGAAAGCATCACCAGGCGTAGCAGTATCTGTGGGCTGTGAACGAGACTGAGCCAGTGCTGAAGGTTCTGGGAGGGGAGCCCCTTCGCCTTCACGGCTGCACGGGAAGCAGTTTCCTGTCTCCCTAAAGCTTCCTCAGCCAGAGTTCAGCCAGGGGAGCGTCCTTGCTCTCCAGGACCGGACGCAGCCATCTGAAGGTTTGGTGTGGAAAGAAAAGCTGACACTGATCTGGGGAGCACTCGGGTGGAAAGATGAATACAGTGACCGTACAAAGGCAAGCAGCTAGCGTGCCCCTTGAAACACCAGCCCTGGCAGAGGAGTGGCGCTTGGAGCCAAGCATAACATTCCCTCTGAACAAGTCCCTCCTCCTAGGGAAAAAAAAAAAAAAACCCAAAAACCAAACTCGCCACCATTGAGTCGGCTCCCACTCATAGCGACCCCTCCTTGGGTTTCCGAGGTGGTATCACTACGGAGGTAGATCGCCCAACCTTTTTCCTGGATGCCCTCCTCCCTCACTGACATCCTTCATTCTCCTTGTTTCTTCCTTTTCACCCCAAACTACATGGCGGTGTGTACCTTAGACCCTGTCCTTTTGTACCTTTCGTCTCTAACCACACTTCCTTTATTGATGATCTCTGATCTCATGGCTTAAATATTGCCTACTTACTGACAACTTCTGAGTGTATGTCTCCAGCTTGCACCTGCGCCCTGGACAGCAGCCTCATTGATCCAGCTGCCCACGTGGCATTTCCACTGGATGTCTGTAGGCACCTCCAGCTCAGAGTGCCCAAAATTAAATCCGGATCTTCCGCATCCAGGCTCACACCTTCGGCAGTCTTCTCTGTCTCAGTAAATGATCAGCTCGTCTTTCCACTCACTGGGGCCAAAAGTGTGACTCCTTTCTCGCTGTCAGCTCCCCTCAAATCCCTCAGCACTTCCTGTGTCTGCAGAATATATCTAGGGTTCAGCCAATTTGTATAACCCCCACTGCTACCACTCTGGTTCAGGCCCGTTGTTGCTTGCCTGAGTTATTACAAGAATCTGCTCTATTATTTTCATTCTTTGTCCACGACCATCTAGAGTCTAGTCCTAACACAGTAGCCAGATGATACTTTTAAAAGTAACAGATCATTTTAGATAATGTCAGCTCTCTGCTCAAACCTCCCCAGTAGCTTATCACACTGAGACTAAAAGCCAGAGTCCTTACCATGGCTTGCAACGCCCTGCGCATCTGGCTCCCCCGTTGCCTCTTCATCCTGTCCTAGCCGCAGTGACCAAGCTGCTAGCTTGGCACAGCACGTGAGGCAAGCTCCCCCGCAGGGCTTTGCTCTTACCGCTGCCTCTGCCTGTCAGGCTTTCCCCCAGGTGTTCACATGGCTCATTCCCGAATTTTCTGTAGGTCTCTGGTCAAATTTCATCTCTGTGAAACCCCTTCTGACAAACGAATTTAAAATAGAAATCCCTCCCTCTCCAGTGCTCCCTTGTCTCCCTTCCTTGCGTGATTTTCCTCCGTAGCACTTACTGCAGTCTGACAGTGTGTACGGCTCACTTCATTGTTTATTTTCTCTCTCCTGCTCCTATACTAAAATATAAGCGCCATGAAAAGAGAGAATTTTGTTAGTTTTATTCACTGTTGTATCTCAGCCCCCAGAAAAATGTTGGGAACATAATAGGCGCTCCATATGTATTTGTAGCATGAATAGATGAACTCCCAGGCTAGCTAAAGCTTGAATTTTTTCTCAAGTTCATGTTCTTGTTATTCTTAGTTATTAAATGTACTCAAAAGTAAAAACTATTTAATCTGTTATAGAATGAAACTTTGCTACTTGTTGCCCAAAGTGAAAGCTACTCTGAAGATCCCTGCAGACAAGCATCTACTTCAGCAGTTAGAAATGTGTGTGAGGAAACTCCTGTGCCAAGAGAAGGATAAAGATGTTCTGGCTATCGTAAAAAGAGTAAGTGTCACCCCTGCAGACATCTTTGTGTTTCTTGCATTAAGAGAATGTTAATTACAGAGTCATTGTTTTACTTGACAGGATAGCAGTAGTTAAAATGTTAATTTCCTTGCTGGAGTAGTGAGAATGCCAAGGAGGAGTTGGAAGAGTTTGCTGAAACAGGGTATGAGAGTTATTTCTAAAGGGCACTTAGACATGGAAGCTTGATTGCCGGTAATAGAAGCATGTTAGGTGCTCAGTAAATACCGCTCAATACTGAATGCTGCATTCACCGGATCTTATTTATAAGTGATTACAATTCATTGAAACTTTAGTGGTAAAATTGGGAAAGTCTATTTGATGGAAACTTAGCCCCTGAAAAGCCTTCAAGGTTAATTCAGTGGTCTGTTAGACCCAGAAATGTTTAATGGTCTGCCAAGCTTGATACGGCTCTCTTACCCCTTAACACATTCTTTCTTCAGCAATGTAACAGTGTGCCTGTGGTTTTTGTTTGTTTATTTTGTTTTGCTTCAGCAGTGTTGTCTTAGTAAATGAACTATTTGGGGGTGTGGAGAACTGTTGTTGTTAAGTGCTTTTCAGTTGGTTTCAACTCAGAGTGACCCCACACACAACAGAATGGAATGCTGCCCAGACTTACGCCTTCCTCACAATGTTGCCACACTTGAGCCCATCACTGCAGCCATGTCAGTCCATGTCCTGAGGCCTCCCCTTTTACACTGACCTCTACTTGACCAAGCATGTTGTCCTTCTCCAGGGCCTGTTCCCGCCCGATAACGGGACCAAAGTATGAGAGAACCAAAATAGGAGAAATTAGGTCAGTGAGGTCAAACCTTAACATAATTGACAGTCTTCAAAAACTCTTTATGCTTTATCTATAATATTTTTGTAAGATTAATGCAAATTAAAGCAATTATGTTTCTGAATCTGAGTATCATCTTCATAGTATTACTGTGTTTTATGCAGAGAATATGTGCGTTACATGTTTTTTATAAACTACACAATCCCTTTGTGTTAGAATCCTATGTGTGCTATGCATGTTATATATGTTGGCATGTTACTCATGGTGGTGTGTTATTTGCAAAAATATGGTTTTTGTAGTGAGAGAAATTAGTGTTTTAAAGAACAGCATTGATGGTATTTATTATATTGAGAAAGAGACTCTTTTGATTTTTCTTTCTAGCAATCATTGACATGTCACATAAGATACATGAGAAACTTCTTAATAAAGTGACTTGAACCTAGTATGGATTAGTATCATTTTATCTTACTGAAGTGTGAATACCTCTTTCATTAACTGAAATAATCAGAAATACTCAGAGTCTGGACATGCCTCTAAACTGAACAACATTGTATATATGTTTTATATACACACACACATGTATATATGTATATATGTGTGTTGTACACATATATATATATGTATATATGTGTGTTTTATATAAAACATATGGAGGTGTGTGTGTGTGTGTGTGCATCTCACCAGCTGTTTCTTTTCACCATTTAATTACAGAAATTTTAACTTGTCAGAATAATATGGATGAGGGGGTTTGTTGATTTTCTGAGATAATTTGTTGTTTCAAGTGATAATACAAAGCAAACCTATGAATCAGTATAGTGATGATCTAACTACATGAATGGATTCTTAATCCATAATGAATGGTTTTGGACTACAGCTCTTATTTGAAGTCCATGTCAAGCCAGGAAGTCAGGTTGTCCCATGAAAATACTGTGGTACAATATTTATCAAATTGAGGTATTGATATGAGTACTCCTGAGGAAGCTACACAAAGCTTTGGGAGAAAACTGTAATAGCTTATTATAACCAGTACTTTGAGATAGGAAGTAATTTTATGTTAAAAAGGGAAATTTCATGGCATAAATTATTTAATTTTTATCAATTTAATTTATAAAATTATGAATTAAAGTAAAATTATATTAATTTAATTAAATTATAATTTTAGTTTAAAAAACTAAAGGTTCAAAGAAATGTTGTGTTTCCGGTGGATACTTTGGGCCTCCTGGGCTGTATTTTGGCCATTAGACTTAAGCCTACTGAATATTTGTGAGGCAGATCCACCTGTGTCAGAGAGAGTCCTAGGTTACATGTTTGAGCAAAGTAATTGGTTTCAGACTAGTGTTTTCTGAAAGACAAATATTAAAATGTCACTGCTTTGGGAACAAAGCTGTTCTGTTGATTAGAGTCATGACAAATGTCTGTGATAGGGAACTAAGGATTTTTAGCCAACTGGTTGGGCAGTCTGCTTCCGTAGAGGTTCCACCACGGAAACCCAAGGAGGGGTCGCTAGGAGTCGGAAGCGACTCCACAGCAGGGAGTTTGGTTTGGTTTGGTTTGATAGAATGTAGCTTACTTCATATAGATTTTGCTAGAAAGACTTTTCAAATTTTCAAAACTATATTTCTGGAAAGCCAGAAAAGATTGACACTGGAAGTCATAAACACTGGAAAGTGTTTAAATTGCATGTATTTGGTATTTAAAACGTGCATAGATGCACACACATGCCTCTTCTTAAGATTAAAAACTTTGGCAAGTTTAAATGAGTCCTGGCATGTTATACAGACATTGCTTATAAACACATTGGAGAATTGGGAGGCACTTGAGGGAGTCCCTGATGTGGCCTCTGCTGCCTGGGGCAGAAGTGTCCCCTTTGAACCTCTGTCTGGAAAAAAGTCTCTTTGGGAAGTGATTGGTTGAGTTGAGTTAAACACTCTTTAATGGTTTTCAAAACTTTCTTTATAGACTGTGTTAGAGTTGGACAGGATGGAAATGTCTATGGATGCTGTAAGTACACTTTCTTTACCTTGTGTTGAAGGAATACTTAAACATTGGGACAGACTCATCACTTATGTTTCACAATTTTATTTTAAACTTTAAACAGTTTCAGAAAAAGTTTTATGAGAAAGATTTGTTGGATCAAGAGAAAGAAAGAGAAGAACTACTTCTTTTGGAAATGGTATGTTGTTTTCACACACACACACACACACACATGCATACACACATGCACATACCCTCTCTTGCACATGCACACACACATGTACACACCCACACACATACACAATTACACACCCATACACACACTCACATACACATGCGAACACAAACATACTCACACATATATATACATATACACTTACACAGTCACAAATATATGTACATGTATACATACACACCTACACACATACATAGTTACACACACATACACACACTCACATATACATGCACACACACTCACACATAGACATAAACACACATATACTTACAAACACACGTATACATACATACACACACAAATGTACACACATATATACATACACACCCACACAGTTACACACACTCACATTACACGTGCACACAAACACATTCACACATATACAAACATATATATGCACTCACACACATACAATCATACACACACACACACACACACTCTTTTTATAACCAATAATAACTACATTTATAACTAAAGTTATTAATAATTTCTTTCACTTTCACATTACTTTACTTTCCTAAATGATTAAAGACTAACCGTGATCTTCTGAAATCTGTTCTTTTATGATCTGGAAAGAAACTGCATTTAATGATGTTACTGTTAGGTGCTGCCGGGTCCGTTCCAGCTCATAGTGACCCTGTGGACACAGAATGGAACACTGCCCTGTCCCGTGCCATCCTCACATTTGTTGTTGTGCTTGATTCCATTGTTGCAGCCACTGTCCATCCATTTGGTTAAGGATCTCCCCCTCTTTCACTAACTCTCTAATTTTTGCAGCATTATGTCCTTCTCCAGAGAGTGGTCCCTCCTGACCACGTGTCCAAACTGTGAGAAACAAAGTCTTGCATTCTTCCCTTTTCAAGGAGGATTCTGGCTTTATTTCTTCTAAGACAGATTTGTGTGTTTTTCTGGCAGTCTGTGGTATTTACCAACACCATAATTAAAAGGCATCAATAATTCTTCAGTCTTCCTTATTCATTACCTA